CACCCAGGGTTACAGAAAGAAACTTTGCCACTGCCAACGTCACATTTTGATCAGTATCGACTAACAAATTAGCTACAAGTTCCTGATTAGTAGCAAGGCTCCATTTTTGAATATACACCGAGATCCATCTGCCAGGAGCCATATTGTATTTTCTGCAATCAATGAAAAAATGTCAAATTGTATCCAAATCACCTGAATGACAAGTATTTATTTATTTATTTATTGTCAGTTTTATACCCCGCCCTCCCCGCAAAGCAGGCTCAGGGCGGCTTCCAATGACATAAATACATGATAAAAACATACATAATACAAATTAAAACATAACAGTTAAAATTAATACACTACAAAGTGCTGGTGGCAGTTAAAAGGAATGCTTTCAGATGGGTTTCCAGCTTCCAGCATAAAAGTGCTTAGGTGTTCTGAAAAAGGAGTCCCTAGGAATCTGCCTGCTGATTCCCCAAGAGGCAAAACATTTAATCTTGCCTTGGAAAACAGTATTCTATATTTGGGGACACTTCCTCTGAACTAAACAGCAGCCTTTTCAAGGGCAGGGAGTCTGCTCGGAACATGCTCAGAGGTCTTCTTTCTTACTTGGTTGTCTGTTTGAAAGATCAGGCTTGGTACTAAACAGGTTCCAAGCTGAGTGCCAGACAGAACGTTTGCATTCTACTATGTAAGCCAGGGGTGTCGCTCATTTGTTATGAGGGTCGGATCTGACATAAATGAGACCTTGTTGGGCCGGGCCATGTGTGTCATAAAATGTAATGCCAGGTAGCAGAGATATAAATTTTATAAAGGACACAAACACAAACACTTAAAATAAATTCAAGCTTAAAACATTAGCACTCTTGCCATATTTTCTTTATTTAAGTGTCCGATAACTGACACCTCTTGCTCTGAATTATTGCATCAAAATGTCTGTGCTGTTGCCATCTTGAGTATGCTGTTCAGGTGTGTCTCTGTAAGCTGCAAACCTACGATGACGCAGCAGCAGCAGAACTGGAAGAAGAAGCAGAAGACAGCCAGTTCCACTGCGGGCCTGATAGAAGATAGAAGCCCTCCGGGGGCCTCATCTGGCCCCCGGGCCACATGTTTGACACCCCTGAATTGTAAGCGCTCTCTTGCCAGCATTCAGACTTTATTAATTATAACAACAAGCACCTCAAAGTGTTAACACTTGCAAATTCTAGGCTGTGATCACACACACTAAATAATCCAGTTTCAATGCACTTTCCAACTGTATTTTTGCTGTGTGAAATCCAGTTTGAAAGTGGATTGAAAGCTGTTCTCCTCCTCCCTTTCCTCATGGTTCAAGGTGGCTTACAATAATAGTTTAAAACGTTTTCAGTTAAAAGCAAAAATAAAACAGTAAACACCAGACCCCCTCCCACCTGAAATCCAGCCTGCTGATTCTCCAGAGTGATCCGTTTGTCCCGTTATTGCCTCTGGGCACAGAAGGATAGTTCCTAGCATCCATGCCCTCAAGGTCCTTGAACTAGGTACGGCAGGGTGGTGAGCCCAGTGCCTTCGGCGTGACGAGGAAGGGCTCAGTCACTGAGCTGTGGACCAGATTTTAGTGACTGAAGCTCAGCCATTGCATTTGCGTGACTAGTGATAAGCTTACAAATCTATGAGGATATTGATAAGCTGGTTGCAGGAAGGCTGAGGAATCCCTGTATGTCATCTAGCTTAATATTCATGTCTTACGTCTAGTATGTCCTGGTGAGGTTTGTTTTTTTTAAACTCTGTCAACAAGTCCTCTTTCACTGCTGGGGTCCTGAGAGCCAGTTTGGTGTAGTGGTTAAGTGATCTGTGAGAACCGGGTTTGATTCCCCACTCCTCCACATGCGGCTGCTGGTGTGCTCTTGGGTCAGTCACACTTAACCACTACACCAAACTGGCAACCAGTCCTGGCACACTGTCCCTGAGGCCTCTGCCTTTATCCACTGCCTCCCTGCCACCCCCTGGGGGCCTGATTTGACCCCACCCCCCTTCCTGCAGCTGAACTGCTGTTTCTCTTAGGACTGCCCTGTGGCTTCCCCCCTCCCCCTAGACATGGGGTGTTGTCTGGTGCGACACACACACATCTTTACGAGGTGATGTCTTTAGGAGGCCAGTGTTCCCTCTAAGCTGAGTTAGTGTGAGCTAGCTCACAGTTTGTTAGCCTCTGGCTCACACATTTTTGCCTTCGCTCAGGAAGGATGGCTCCAGAGCAAACGAATCCATGCAGGAGCCAAATCACCTGTTCACAACTTAATGCCAGCAGCTCACAAGGTAGAATTTTTGCTCACAAGACTCCACAGCTTAGAGGGAGCACTGGTGGAGGCCCCGTCTCCCAGACTTGGTAGTCCCCACATCCACACGTAGACCACACGTAAGTCTCAGGACTATCAACATATTATATTAGGGCAGGACTGCACCCTCCAGAGAAAGTCGTGTGTCAGTGTTGCCTTTTACAGCAGTTGGCAGCCATGTCTGAATGCAATGGAAAAGGTGTCCCTGATTATCACAGAGAGAGGGAGTCTCCTCTGCACACGCTTAGTGGCCTTTTTTCTTACTCCTTTGTCCATCTGAAAATTTAGGCTTGATACTGAACAGCTCCCAAGTAAGTGCCGGACAGGACATTGGCATTCTTCTCTGTCGAGCTGTTTCTTACCAGCATGCAGACATTATGAATGATAAGATCAAGCATCATAAAAGTATTAAAACCAGGGTGTCTGTTGTGGGGAGGGGAAGGGAAAGGAGTTTGTAAGCCACTCTAGACTCCAAGTGAAGGGCGGGGGATAAATCCAGTCTCCTCCTCCTCCTCCTCTTCTTCCTCGTCCTCATCCTCTTCCTCCTCCTCGTCCTCTTCTTCTTCCTCCTCCTCCTCGCCCTGGTTGTCAGGCACGGACGGCTGTTCCCCAGTGTTCGAGGATACTGGTGAGTTGGTTGTGGAAAGCCTGAACCGTCATCTGTCCATGTGCAGAGACCAATGCTGAGTATCCATCCATCCAGTGTTGAGTATCCACATGTTAGAGCTATTATTGGGCCAGTGAGGTGGTGTTGTTCTTAAAAACCCTTTAAACAATTTTCTGTTAACTTTTGAAACAGAAAACCGCCAGGGAGACTCAAGGATTTCCTCACTGCTGCTGAGGATCCGTGAGGAGCTGCGGGGATCCAGGCAGTGCGGTGGTAAGGATTTGGGCTTATTTTTCTCCCCAGACACCCTCTCCTCTTCCTACGGAAATGAAATATGCCAGTCTTTTGAACTGTTCTGGCTGGCAACCCTAGTGCCTTGAGTAAAACGGAGGCAGCTGGCTTGGGGAAGGAAACCCAAGATGGCAACAGGGGGCTGTCCACAGCGAGATTCAAGACACCCCAATACAGAGAGGAGAGGCATTTCGACACGTGTGTGATGAAGGAAGAGAACTCAGTTGCGGGACAACCACTTGGTGCCCCAGATTCATACTAATGAGGCGGCTGTCTGGGAACTGACCACATTTAGCATGAAAAATCCCACGGGAAAGCTCCCTAAGTCAGAGGTGTTTGTCTCTTTTTCTCACCTCCCCAACAACAGCCGGGAGAGTGGAGCAGTCTCTTATTTATCCAAAACCTTTTTTATGTTCTTTTCCACCCAATCAGGGTCCACAAAGCAGAGAACATAAAATAGACATTGAAACATCTGAGCAATTAAAAATACGGTTAAAAGTATAAAATAACTCAATGAGCAACACATGAACAACGCTAGCAGGAGGACCCAGTTAACCGCTGTTGGGGGTATGCTGGACAACTTGCAAGGGGTCTTTACTCTTGAGTAGATGAGTACTAACAGTCATTTCTCGTTCCTGCTTCTTGGTGACCGCTGGGGTCCTGGTTTGACGCCCCCCTTTTCTGCAGCTGGACTGCTGCTTCTTTAAGGGCTGCCCTTTGGCTTCCTTTCCCCCCACCCTGAGATGGGGTGTTGTCTGGTGCGACACACATATCTTTATGACGTGATGTCTCTTTTTGTCTCTTTTAGCTAATGGCAACAAATGGAAGTGCTGCACAATTGGAGTCTCAGTTCTCCTGGTGATTTCAATCATTACAAATATCTGTCTGTTGGGTGAGTTCTTGAGTTCCCTTTTAATGGTACTTTTTCTTTTGTATTTTATTTATTCCATTTATAGCCCAAATTTGTCACTGAGACTCAAGGCGGAGTACAAAATTTAAAGCACAGTTAAATCAGAGAGCCGTTGGCTGTGATGATGGCATTTCTCTGCCTGCCTCTTCTCTGGACAGGTTTGCAGACAGCTCCTTTGCCAGCCCTGTGGGTTCCTTTTCTTCCACTCCCCTCTCCCCCTCCATTCTCGCCACCTCTCTTCTCTTCTCAGATTAGGGATCCTCAGGGTGACTGGAAGGAATGCCCCAGAATGCTTCTGATCTAGGTGGCACCACCGATACATTATACATTTTAAAGCCGTTATGCTTTCATGCTTTCCCAGCAGAAGTGTTGAAGGGGACATGAAATCCTTTTCACGGCCATCGGGTAAAGCAGGTAAAGCATTCTGATGGTATGTCCTTTGATCACTCTGCTGCTGCTCAGCTGCAAATTGGCTCTTCTGCAGTTGGGAAGCAGAAACTTCAGGAGCAAAACAATGGGGATTCCGTCTGAAAACTCCTGCTGCAAACCTTGATTGGGAATGACTGCTTAAGAGTGGGAGGTTGACCCACAAGAGAGATTCTCTTGCTTGACCGCCTTCTTGGGGAAGGGCTGTGGATCGGTGGCAGAGCCTCTGCTTGGCATGGCGAAGATCCCAGATTCAATCCCCGGCACTTCCACTTACAAGGACCAGACAGCCAGGTGACATGAAAGGCTTCTTCCGGAGACCCTGGAGGGCTGCTGCCAGCCTGAATAAATACTGACTCCGGTGGTCAGATTCAGTGTGATGCAGCTTTGTATGTGTGTTTGTATGTTCCCGCCATCCTCTGCTCAGATGAGCCTTGGAAAAGGTGTAGTTTCTCCCCGCCACCCAATGCAAGTGTCGGGGTTGCCTGTCCACCATGACATGCTTGTATTTCATTCATCAGCAAAGTTGCATCAGATGCCCGCTGCTCCCAGCCCACCGGATACCACGTCACCCACATTGGATGCCAGTCTCTGCCCACAGCGCTGGGTTAGGAATGAAGGGCGGTGCTACTTTTTCTCTGACACTGAGCAGACCTGGAACGCCAGCCGGATCAATTGCTCTTCCCAGGGAGGTTCCCTGGTGGCCATGGATACTCCACAGGAGAAGGTGAGAGAGCCAGACAGATATTGTCGAGTGAATCTGATTCCCCATAAGTTCCCCAGGGGGGTTTGTGTGTGTGTCCTTCGAAGGCCCTGGGACTGAGACTGGCACAGGTCTGTTTCCCCCAATAGAAGCAGAGCAGAAACTGCGAGGACAGCTCTCCCCAGCGGAAGCTTCAGCCTCTGCGAAAGTCCCGCCTGCCATCGAGAGTGGTTCATCCCTGCCCGTTCTCCTCTTTCTGAGAGAACCTGCTGGAACTTTTGGATTCAGGCCCAAGGAGCCACCACACACATCCCTGAACCTTCCAGGCTGGGTGGGGTGCAGGGCAATGCTCCCTCTAAGCTGTGGAGTCTCGTGAGCAAAAATGCTACTTCATGAGCTACTGGCATTAAAGTTGTGAGCGGGCGATTTGGCTGCTGCATAGTTTGCTCTGGAGCCCTCCTTCCTAAGACAAAAATGTGTGTGAGCCAGAGGCTAAAGAACTCTGAGCTAGCTCACAGTCACTCAGCTTAGAGGGAACGCTGGTGCAGGGCTACTCTCCCTCCTCCCAGCCCAGGGGGCCTTGCAGTGAGGATATGGGCACTCCATGAAACTGCTCCATGAAACTGCTGAGCGGTCGGGTTAGAATGGATAAAAGGAAGTCCTTCTTCACCCAAAGAGTGATTAACACATGGAATTCACTGCCACAGGAGGTGGTGGCGGCTACAAGCATGGACGGCTTCAAAAGGGAATTAGATAAGCATATGGAGCAGAGGTCCATCAGTGGCTATCAGCCACAAGGTATAGATAGGGACTCTGGGGCAAGTGATGCTCTGTGATCTTGGTGCTTGGGGGGGGGTCAACAGTGGGAGGGCTTCTAATGTCCTGGCCCCGCTGGTGGACCTCCTGATGGCACTGGTATTTCTGGCCACTGTGTGATACAGAGTGTTGGACTGGATGGGCCTTTGGCCTGATCCAACATTGGCGTCTCTTATGCTCTTATATGACAACTCGGAGTTTACCAGCAGCTGTCCTTTATACAGTTTCTATCTCTGGTACCTGGCATTACTTTTTATGGCACGCCTGGCCCAGCCCAAAAAGTGACTGTCAGATCTGGCTCTTGTAACAAAGAAGTTCGACATCTCTTTGAGAGAGATCCTGAATTATCGTGAGAATACCTTCAAACTTCTCTGTGTGTCAATAAAATGAATAATACACTCTGAAATGAAGACACTGCAAGGTTTAAAACGGCTTTTAAAATGGATTTTAAATTATAACTTATTTGTTTTTCAGGAATTTGTCCTGGGCTCTCAGCATCTAATTTATTTCTGGCTTGACTTCTGGAGAGATGGGGTAGGAAAACCCTGGAAACGGGCCGATGGATCCCTCTTCAACAACACGTGAGTCTCTTTCAAGCGCTGGGCCAGGGGCTTGAGGCCGAGGATGGAGGATTTTTAGGTCATAAGTAAATGAACATTTACATGAAACATGTTTTTGTTGGTAATTTTTTCTTTGAAAGTACAGCTGAGATTTGTTCTCACAAACTCATCATGTTTGACACACCGTGCAGCTTTCAGAGGTTCCTCAGCAGATGGTCAATGTGGAAAAAGGTCTCTAGAAATGTGTATGTTGTTTTTTCTCATTTTGTCTCACATGCTGCTTTCGTGTGGAGTGTCTCTTAACATGAGGGAGAACTGCTCTCTTTGGTAAGTCTGTCCTTTTAAGTATTGGCTGTCTCACATCCTGCCCCCGATCACTCCCAGCACTTCTAAGTTTGTTTTGGAACTGCAGCACTGAAGGCATGGCAGCAGCAGTGAATTTCTGCGTGGTCTCTATGCATCACACCTCTTATATCACACCTCTATGCAACACACAGTGATATAGTGCACCTGCGCCGACCCCCATCGGTATAATGGAAAGCAAAAGGGATTTTCGCGCCCACTCCCTGATCACATGCCGGGCTCCACTGTGCATGACCAAGGGAGGGGCAAGACAATCCCACCAGTTCTCTTCTGACTGCCACACTGGTAGGACTCTCTCCGCTTCGGTCAGTAAAACTATTTCTTTATGGCCTTTAGGCCTTGTTTTATTCAAGTTTAGTTAGTTAGGAAAGTATTTCAGTTAGACAGTGTTCTTTGGACTTTGTTTCTCCCCTCCCTTTGGCCTATGGCTGCTCGGCGGGGTTTCTTAAAATGGTGTTGGAAGTGCGGCAGTAAGATCGCCCCCCCAGATGGACATTCCCTTTGCCTTTTATGCTTGGGAGAAACGCACAGAGTAGACTCTTGCACCCATTGTTCCACGTTTTCCAAACAGACCAGGGAGAATCGAGCAGCTAGACTTCAGGTGGCGCTGATGGAAGTCGCACTCTCGCCGGTGACACCCTCATCTCAGGAGACGTCCGGGCATGCCTCAATGTCGACGCCCGCTTCGAAATCGACAGTCGCCTTGTCTTCACCATCGACCTCCATCAATGCCATAAAATCGGTGCCAAAGTGCCCGATTCTGGCACAGCAGTCCAAAGCCCATACTCCTTCCAAAAAACATAAGGAGGGCAAGGACGTTCGGCTTATCAAGCTTAAGAAGCACAAGAAAGGCTCTCTCACTAGGATAGCGAAATGTCACCGGTCATTATCTAAGATTTGTTGGAAATGTGGAAAAAATATAGGGACGTACTTTCACATGTGGTGGCGATGTGAGAAAGTGGAGAAGTATTGGAAAATGATACAAAAGCTCATTCAGGATATTATGAAGCTAAAAATGTTTTTAACTCCAGTATTAAATATGGTACCGGAAGAGTATTCACAAAATGACAAATATTTATTAACATTTATAGTGACTACTGCTAGAATATTGATGGCTAAATATTGGAAAAGTGAGTTATTCCCAACAAGAGAAGAAATTATACTGAAACTCATGGAGTTAGCAGAAACAGATAAACTAACGATAAGTCTTCAAGGGAAAGATGGAAATGTGTTTAAGAAAAGATGGGAAAGAATGTATAAATGGATCCAGGAAACATGGGGATATTTGGAATGAAATGTATATATGAAGGAATATATGTAAATATAATTAAGACTCAAGCTATGTAAGTAAGAATATTTGTACTTAATTTGGGAAAATGATAAATAAAGGTTAAAAAAAGAAAGAAAAGAAAGGCTCTCTCACAGCCGCTTCGCTTGATTCGGTCACCTTTGCTTCGCCCCATCCAGTCCCCTGACGCCGTCCAGGAGCTGACACAGGTTCCCCAATACCCCAATGTCGAGACCCTGCAACGAGACCGAAGGACACACGTGGTTGTCTCTTCGCCTCCGTTCATCCCCAATGATCGGGATTGATCACTGACCCCTTTTTAGCCACTGACCTGGGATCAGCGCCAGTGGCAATACCTGTACAGGACTTATCCGTTTTCAGGATCTTTGCCATGGCTTCCTCCACGTCCTCCCATAGAGTGGGATCGCCAATCGTCGTCTTCCAGATTTTCTTGGTACCGAAATCCCTCCCCGGCACCGGAGTTCGTTAAACCTTCATAGTCGAAACCGATAGCTAAAGGCTATCCGGTCTCCAGTCGTCGGTACCAAAGCCTCCTATAGATCAGTCGGAGTCGTTACCCTCAATGCCGATCCTTCAGACGTTGTTCTCTGAACCTTCAAATTGCTCCAGCTCCCCTAGCTCTCACTCGGATGAGGAGAGTTCACACCCCCGGCTAGAGCCATCCCCGCCACAGCAAGTGGAGGATGACCTCCCTATTTCACCGTCAGAGGACATTAAGCCTTACGGGGACTTTGTCAAACGAATGGCACACTCGTTAGCTCTACCCACCATCCAGCCTCTTCCAACAGTCACAGACTTGGTCTTCAACATCGTCCAGATGGACACGTCGACCTCAGTCTCCCTTCCCATGACTTCAGTTCTTTTGCAAACAGCCAAAGCTCCTTGGGCTCATCCTTCGTCCGTCTCGATGTCCAATAAGAGGTTGGATCATATGTAGAAGATCCAAGAATCGGGGGCAGAATTTCTCTTCATCCATCCAAAGCCGAATTCGTTAGTGGTGACCTCATCTGCCAAAGGCAAGAGTAGCCACTCTACCCCTCCAGACAAGGAGGGAAGAAAAATTGTCTCTTTTGGGAGAAAATTTTATACCGATGGAGCTATGGGTATCAAATCCTCTAACTATGCTGCTTGCATGGGATGCTATCAGTATGCCCTTTGGGAACAAATGTCAGAATTTATCTTGACCCTCCCTGATGACGGCCCTGTGTTATATCAACAGACAGGGAGGTACAATATCCAGGGGGCTATGTCAACTAG